ACGCGCGAAGGGGGGGTGTGGGGGGGAAGGGGGCGGGGGGAAGAGAGGTTAATGGGGTGTTAATTCTTAGGGGAGATCCCCTCTCTGTCAGCTCTCCCTGGACATTTTCCTTCCCACCCTCATTTCCAGCAACTGCATATGCTCAAGCTTAGTTTTTTCAAAAGGTACCTAAAGGAATTAGGTGCCTAAATCCCACTGAAATCTGATAGGAGTTAGGCACCTATCTCCATTACTGGCAATATCTTCTTAAAAAATCTCCATCTCAGCAATCCCAGCATGCATTTTAAGGATTGAGTCTGGGTCTTTGCCAGGAATGCTGGCAAAGTGGTAGGTTGTTTGCAGCATGGTGGTAACTCCCTTTTTTACTGTGGAGGAAGCTAACAGGATAAGAAATCAATAGGTTCCCCTCTCCTTTTGCAGCCTACACGCCTTCCGTGGTACTTCCCCAAGCACTGAGTTCATGCTGTGGTGACAGATATACACACACACGTACAAGTGTACAGCAACAAAGATTGCAGCCGAGGTGGAAGAATACTGGTTAAGGAAGAAATCTGCTATATTGACTGTGCTTCTCTTCTGCTGTTGTCATATGAAGCAGGCTTTGCACACTCCAGCTCTACACACAAAGCACAGAACTGCAAAAGCACAAAGGAAAATAGCCAGACTAGGCTAAGGAAATAGGTTGGATAAACTAACAAGCAGCTGGAGTTCTCAGTAGTCCAGGGCAAAACTATTTCCATCCACTAGGGACACTTGCTGGCATTTCACTGGGTTAAAAACAATTTTTCTAGCTACACAGGATGCACTAGGCTGAGGTCTGTACTAGGCCTGTGCGAGTAGGCAGGTATTCATTCCAGCTTCAGATCCAGCTGCTTTGGATGTCAGCAATTGGATAGGTTTGCTGCTTTGATCCAGCCAAAGTGGCTCTGAAGCTTTGGCACTGCCTCGGAGATCTGGCCATAGGCTATAATGGGGGATCACTGAAATATCTATAACTTCATTGTGTTATCTCCGATTTAGGTGAAACCTGCAGAGGTGGTAGCCCCTGATGAGCCATGAAGCATGCCAAGTTTCAAGAAGATCAGTGCAAGGGTTTGGGGGGAACTGCATCTCAAGCTGCTGACAGGCAAAACTCATGATGTGGGTGGGTGACATTTTGTGTGTGTCAGGGTGTCCCCTTCCTGGCACTGGGGCCTCTGCACAACACAGAAGTGTGCCCCAGTGAGGCCTCCTCCTCCCCTGCAGCCTCACGCCCAGTCTTCCACTTTATGTGACAACGGGTAAAATAACTTAGCTGGCTGAACACTAGTAGCATCAGCAGCAGCATCAAAGGTACCCAAACGGCACTGTCACAGAGCCTTTCTTTTTATAAAGGAATTGACAGAAAGAAATAAAGATGTTGTGTTGTGTTGTGTTGGACATATGATGTTACTCATGGTGTATGATGGCTTATTTTGTGTTTTTATGTCTACATGTGTATTATGAAAAAAAAGGAGTACTCAAAAAATGTATCTTTGGAAGCTTTAGGATTGAAAAACCATTTGTCAGGCTGAGGAAGTACTTGCAGTTGGTCCTGGATAGAAGGAATAGTAAAGAGGCCAGAGGCTGGCCTGGCCCGCAATGCAGACAAGAAAGCCAGGCAGGGAAAATGGAAATGGAGGCATCACGGGGTGAGGGACAGTCGGGTGGGGGGTAGGGGGGAAAAAGGGGGATGTAGCAGCACAGGTCAAAGTGCAGAGGTGCCTGGGGTGTCAGATGCAGGTGCAGGTCACAGTGTGCCAGAACTCCATTGTCTAATCTATATTGAGTTCATGAGTTTCTGTACCTACTACCTAGGAGGCTGATGAAATGCAGTTCATAGGCCCAGCTCTGAAAAGTGGTTTGTACATTCAGACAAGCACCTAACCTCATCACCAGAACTGAAGCCAAAGTCCTACAGCTCAAAACACAAAATCTGTCAACTATCTCCAGTACCCCCACAAACTGCACACTAAAACCTATCAAAGACAACAAAACCCAACTACCTGTGGGGTATTCCTCATGAAAAAAACACTCTGCCTCCAGTCTCTCAGGCCTGATCCTGAGAGGGAACAAATTACAATGCAAACCACTTTTCAGAGCTGGGCAACCGTGGCCAGATCCTGCCACATCTGGATGCAGTTTGCCCAGTAGGGCAAGGGGTCGCAGTCCAGTGGGTCCACATCCCCAGCGAGATAGGTAGCCACTGAAGCATCGGCGCTACCTGCCCGAGGCTGGGGTCTGGTACATTTGGACCCCAGCATTGAAGCCATGCCCATGGCCCACATTGGTAATGACTGGCATGGAGGAGACTGGCTGGTGCTGGTGCCGGGAGTGCTGGCACAGGAAAGTGGATTCCCCTCTTCCACATCCCCTCACCTCTGCACTTTGGCCTCCCTGACTTTGTTCACCAGCACCTGCGTCCAGTAACCAAAGGTTTTGGGGCTGCCAGTGCACATGCTCCCCTTCACCCTTGGGT